ATATTGCTTCCAATTGAATCTCTTGTGCTTCAAATTAGGTTAAAATACTTGTACCTCTCAGAGTGTGGATCTTTACATATGCAAATGCGGGAATACCGAATTGTCTGCCTTCATTTCCATAATGTGAATCATGAATAGGCCTTAGATTTGCTTGGTTGATTTCCAGCTATGCTCAGAAACAAAATCCATATTTGGCACCGTAAAAAGGAACAAAGATTAGAGTTTTTTGAAGGAATGCTAGATTACGCACCCTCATACTGTATTAGACCCAGTGTATGCACAAAAACATACACTTTTCATAGAGCAGCGTGTTGTGAAAGAGTCCTACGTCACGGATTACTTTACCATGACTCCTTTGATGAAAATGTATTGCTTTAACCTTGGAAACATGGCACGGCAGTCGATATGGTTTGAGAGACTTGGAAATACTCGTGCCTGTGGATTCAACAGACTAAAGACGCTCTTCGACTGATGAAACAATAGCAGGAGGAGGAGGGGAAACATTCTTCTGCCGAGTCGGCATTATTGGATTTGGATTGTAACATAGTAAGTCAGGCTGAGAGGGGGCCTGTGAATATCACGTTGGAATCATAATAGACAAGGGCCGATTGTTATTGCACCACACTTCCATTAATAATTCAATCATTTGACCCGTGACATGATTTCCCGTAAAACAATCTGATCCTCTGAGGGCTGATGGAGATATTCGAAATCTATGAGTGTGTGTGTGTGTGTCTGTTTTTGACCTTCCCAGTATGACACAGAACTGATGCCCGGGGCGGCCACTCTTAGTCTAAAATTCAGAGGGAAGAAAAGACAAGATACCAGAAAGTGTGCACGCCAACTAAAGTGTGCTGCAGCATCCCCCCCCCCCCGAACTAGATATGTGCCCGCCCCAAGGGTGCGCCAATAAGCACGCCACAGGAATGGAGGGTCTCGCACGAAGCGTGCACTTAAAACTGAGCAGCGCTCTGAAAGTTAAGCGCAAAATCAGAACAACGTATGCAGAGTGCATTAGATATAAAAACACTGCGTGTGAGTAAGTGGAAGCAAAGCCCGGTAATATCATAACACATTGTTTCAGCGATTACTACTGACAGGGGAAACGTTGCTGTTCTAAGTCAGGCTTGCTGCAAACACAAAGACTAACACAGGTGCAGACGTAGATGAATGTAGGGATGTAAAAGCACACACAACTGTGTGCACGCCCACAAAATAACAACACTGGAGCATGCACGCGCAAGAAAAAAGCAGGGGTACCATCTATCAGGCTGCAGACGGGAGCCTTGGAAGGGGAAATCTGTCCTGTGATGGCCCTAAATGAGGGCTTTGGCGGCGCTGTCACATTGTATTTGGCTGGGACATAGGCGGTATGAGGGCCTACAAGAGATGGCCTGTGTGTACAGATATAATGAACTTGGGAGGTGTGTGGAGCATGGGCAGGCAGTGTGATTCTGTCACAGCTAGCGGTGCTCCGTGCCTGCTGTGAGGATGGAGGGAGGGAGAGATAGAGAGAGCGGCGGAGAGAGACGAGACGTAAATTGAGTGCGGAGAGGGAAAGACTGAGGAAGAGGCGAAAGCAATGATCAAGACAGAAAAAAACATCAGAATGAGAGATGGAGAGGGGCCGGGAATGAATAAGCAGCCCTGCAGAAAAACACAGAGCTAATCGCTGCCGGATTGGTGAGGCAATACCGCTGTTATACCAGAAGAATATTTGCTCTAATTAGAGCCAGCTAATGTGTCTCCAGGTATAAAAGCTGTTGGCGTTTTCCTGAGAATAATGAGAAACACAAAGCTCGCAGTGTCCTGGAGAGAGGTGCAAAACTCCCTTTGTACATCATTAACAGTTCACTGACAACAAAAGTGGTCTTAATAGAATGTAATGTGGTCTCCTCACCTATCTGTTTGTTCAAATGTCCATTAGGGGAATGCAGAATAATTCTCTCCTTCTGTGCTTCAACCACAACCCATTTTATTTCCAAAGTTCTGCCTCCATTTGCTTCTCTCACCTCTGTCCTCCACATTAAGATGATAAACATGATTTCACGGAGCACTACAATCATCAGTCTTTGTAAAACACGCCAAAATCCTCGATAAAAGAATTAAGCTCGCTTTGGAGAGACGGGGCCAAACGTATAGATTTACAATTCCACACTCAAGTTCCCCGCCATGTTTTAATGCATCATAAACACTTGGTGTTTTTTGGTCTCCGTTCCAATAAAAACAGGAGTGCGCGGGGGTGTAATATCTGGAGCTGGGGGAAATTAAAGCCGAAGTTCCTCTCGTCTCCTCCTCCGGTGCAACTCCCGGCTCGCGCGCTCACACTTGAGCACGCGCGCACGCAAACACGTACGCACGGCTAATCAGCAGCCCGGAGAGAAATCTAAGACCACATCTACACCCAGTGGAGGAACCTGATACAACCACGTCGCCTCCTCCCCCCTGCAGCCCCCCTCCGCCACCTTCCCACATACCCGTCTTTCTCTTAATCATCAGCTCACACACACTAAACGCTCCCGCTGATAAATTAGACGCGAGGTTCAGTATGATTAACTAAAGTTAATGAAGACTGAAAGCGATCGCAGGCGATGTAACCATAGAAGGGAGAAGCATTTGAGAAAACATCAAGACTACATTAGAAAACCAGCAGACATTCTTTTCCCCCCATTTCTGCTGCTATTTCCAAAAGTCCTTTCAGTGCGCGGTGACAAACATAACCCTTCTGACTGCTGGAAAAATAAATCATACTTTCAAGTGAAGACAAATGCCTTATCCGTTGGGAGTAGCTGCAGGCTATAGTCATAATGGCCTTTCTCTCTCTCTCTCGCTTTCCTCTTCTCTGAAGGCAGGGAGTTTCCCTGAACTAGTTTGAAATGTCCACAAAAACCAGCGTTACGCAGCATAAAGCAAGTTTAGGGCTGATCGGTAGCAGGAATGTTGCTCTTTAAGACTTATTTTACGATGAACCCCGTGATGGTGAGAAGCACTTATGGTCCTGGAAGCAAAACTGCTACTCAGACTTTTTTACCCCCCTTCTCTTCTTTTTTGACCAAACAGCAAAAACGCTCATCGCTGACATCTTTAACCGATAAAACACGCTTACGCTCAAGATCATTACTCATCATGTCTGATGTGGTGTCACAGTCTCAAAATTCGTGGATTTCCTATCACTGCAACCCCCCTCTACACCCTCTCTGTACGTTTGGCCCTGCTCAGGCTTGGCTCGGCTCGGGGCAGACCAGCTGCAGAAGTCTGTCTCCTCTCCTCTCTCCCCTCCTCTGCTCTCAGTGCTATCAGGTTGCCACTCCTCCTCCTCCAGCCCATTACACAGGCCTCTTTATGCTGCGCTAAAAGCTGCTCATGTTCAAACACTCCTGGGAAAAGCTCCTTAAAAACATGTCAGGATGAGAGGCCCTGTCTGGTAAAATATTAATAGGAAGTTAATTGGTTGTTAATGGACTGGTGCTTGGGTAGGAATCACCCTCCATTAGATAGGCCACTGAAACACCCCATTCAGGGGTGTCATCTTACCACCTCCACCATCTAATTGGTTTCCGGTCACCGTAGCAGTTGTGTTGCGGTAACCTGGTGTTAAAGACATTATCGCTTGAGTTTTATATAAGCTCTGGCAAAGAAAGTATTGTACCAAGCGCAAAGCGCGTTTCCCCACCACTCTGGTATTGTGGGTGTTCAGTTACTTTGGGGTCAAGCTCGGCGCGCCCTTTCTCTTTTAATTGGGCGCCCTTTTTGTCTTTCCTCGTGTTAATCTTTCCTTCTTCTACACATAAGGAAATAGTTTTAACTTTTGTTGTTTGTGGTCAGAGTCACTGCGCTTTCTGTGGTCGTCCTTACCCGAAAGGAAAAAAAATCCCCTCCTCTCTCAGAGCAGACATATAATATTGATGCGGAACAGACTCGGAGAAACACAAAAAATCAAATGGAATCCAAACTAAGTTCAAATGTCGACTTCAGCGCATACATTTTTGATCATTGCAAACCTACCAGATGCAATTCCCTTCAAGGGAAGCCACAGGGGCACGCCGAGCAAGGGACGTATTTAGAAATAAGTGATATTTCAGCGTGTCTTTCAATCCCGACTTCGTTCAGCTCCGATTCATTTATGAGAGGGACAAATACTTGCTGAAAGAGGTGGTTCAGGAAATGGGACTAAAAATGGCGGCAGAGGTTACCCAGACAGCTCGTTTTTATGGATGAGGCTTTCAAATGTACCACGTAACTAAAATGAGCCAGCTCTTAAAGTAATCTCATTGTTTATCTAGACTTACAGACGTTATGTAAATGCTTTATATATACTGTTTATAGTGTCTCATACCTGAGTCTTTCTCTGGAAAAGGAAAGAAAAACATTTTTTAAATCAGTTATTTCAACATCACAGCCTGGTTAAATGTGAGGGTCCTACACTCAACATTTATATTAAGTTTTTCAATCCTGAATCATGCTTTTCATGCAGCCTTTACTTGCTGTTACTCTTTAATGCACTCAAGTCCACTCTCGTGCCTCGGTCTATTTAATGGTAACCTCACTCAAACATTGAGTGAACCCGTGTCCAATTACATTACAAAGCAAATGTCAATGGATCCAACAGATGTTGTGCTACTACACAACTTCCAAGTTTCATTTCACTGGTGCAGGTTATCGCAGTCGCCACTAGATGGTAGCGAAAGGCTGGAGTTACTGATTGGCAGACAGGCTCAACTGATGAAAGAAATCCTCCAGGCCTGCTATTAAATATCCAGCTCTGTGCCGTGTTCTGCTTTAATGTATTACTTGACTGGATGGAGAATGTGTGATAATCCCGACTGTGGGTAATGCAGTAGTAGAAATGTCTGCCTGATGTTTCGTTCGCCCTGCTCAGCCAGTTAAACTCCTCGCGGGCTTGAATTGAATGAGGCGGAGGGGAAAAACTGGAATATTCACCCGTATAATCATCAAGACAATGAGATTAGCAAAAAAGAAAAACCCAGCAGGTATGCACTCAGACTTTGGCTTTATTTTGTTTTATTACATGTCAAGCTGTAAATGTTGCAACAATAGAGCGGGTTCTTGGCTGGACCTTTAGCAAAAACTGTCATAAGCTACGAGGATTACATGGTAATACACAACAAAACATTTGCAAAGAACACTTTAGGAAACTGTAGAAAAGTTACAACAGTATGAAACGTCCACTGTGGAAAAACTTTACTTTAATAATATTTGGCACTGAAAAACCTTTTTTTTTTCCTGATAAAAAAAAAAAAAAAAAGTCACCCGTGGTGTTTCTCGACTAATGGAGTCATTTTGTCCAATTACGTCCTTCACTGTGACTGCTGTGACCTTTTTGGCATCAAAAATGGATAAATATACATTTGAAATTGGTGACGCTCCAGTCGCACCTTGAAAGTGCTTTCATTTTGACAAAACAGAAATCTAGTAATAGTCCGATATTTTTTTAATAGATGATGACAGCTGTCAAAAAATGTTTTTATATGCCTCCGGGCCAGATAGCTTTGCTTCCAAGCATGAACGTCACAACCGCTTATTAACTGTCAGTCACTGATTTATTAATTTTTTTCCTTTTTTCATCTCAGGTGCACACAGTAACATTCATTGTGAAAAATAGCTAGTTCAAAATGTCATGCTAATGCACACAGACAAGCTACCGGGATGTGCTGCCTTCAAACTTGGCCCCCTGCACCGCACGCCCCAGAAGAGTTTGTGATTATCCACATGAAGAGCCGAAGAAGTTCACATGCCATGAGGTTCACCATTAGTATGTGGACAGAAATGCATGCAAGTATTTTAATCAGCCCCCGAAAAGCATTTGTGTATGTGCGGGATACATTCAAACAGGCAATAAGAAGAAGAAGTGAGAAGATGAAATCAAACTACATTAGACTGGAAGAATGTGCTGTCTGCCCTTCTGTTAACATCTGCCTACACCTTGACTGCACCCTACTCTCAGGACAGAAGTGTAAAAATCATTGAGAACTCTTTCCGGTCGGTGTGGCTGATGAAAAGACAGTCTTGGAGACTCTCACTCACTAGGCCGCGTTGTGGAAAAGGATGGGCTTGACCATCCCAGAGAGGATTTTGGGCACGTGGACGCTCACAATCTCCGAGATCATCTCTGGGAAGCTGACGTGCATTTGCATGGACTGAGCTTGGATGAACAGATCGTAGGTGAACTGGTGTAATTTCCTCACAACCTATGTCAAGAGACAAACATGATACATACATGTGTTGGGGTTATTAGAAACAAAGAGATAAATAAATATGTAATGTGGAAAACATGTAGATGCTGTCTATTGTCCCTGTATAATAAAGACTAAAAATGCCCAAATAATAATACGAATGAACAAAAACAAACGAGACTTTCATGGCACAGCTTAAGAGGCGGTTTTAGGAGATAACACTTATTGTGACACTAAGCTCCACAGACAGGGCAAAGCTGAAGGAGTCCTCATCAACTCTGATCTTCTTCCTAAAGGGCCCTTCCAGACAATCTCTGGCTGCCTTCCAGCTCAAAAGCCACAAAGCCGAGCATTTAAAGGTAAATCCACAGTGAAAGACAGGAGGCTCAATCTGTTGTGGCTCCTCTCCACATAGCGCTTTAACTCTTCTGGTCATACTCATATAATGATGTAAGGGGTTTTTCCTTTGATAGCTAATTGTTCTCATCATTGAGATAAAAGTACAAAAAGAAAAAAAAAATCCTAAAAAGGGTTAAAAGTAGTGCATTTACACCCCCTAGTGGTTGCACATCTACATCAACACACTTCCCCCTCCTAAACCTCAGTAAGGATGAGATGAGTGATTAGTGTGTATTACAACAACAAAAGAAAGTTCACCAAATAAAAAGAAAATAAAAATGCAAGAAATGCACATCGAGAAGTCGTAACAGGAAAACTACATGTGTTTTTAAGTAGATACACCTGCGTACCTACAATACCACGTCAGTCTTTTACGGCTTAGAGGTAAAAAGGAAAAAATATTATTAACAAAATAAACAGAATATAAATCTAGAAACATTAAATACACTGATGGCTATCAGCGTGTGTCTTATTTAGGGTGAATTTAAACTAAATTAAAGACCTTTTATTACTCATTCGAATCTACCTCAAATGCCTGGACTTGGACTTTTATGCCTTTTTTTTGGTTCATAATCTTTCCATTTTCTTTTTTTACTGAAGGTCACAGCACAACTTGACCTTTCTATATTTTGTTAAAATATAATAAAAAGCGCTTTTAAAAAATCTTTTTAGGTGTTGCTGATTTTGCTGGTATTGGGTATATATGTGCACAAATGTTTGACAGAAATAACAATGAAACTCGTTAATCAACCTTCTGCATGGTCGCGCATATGAAGGCAAATCTTATGAACCTGCTTTTTTATTGCTTATGCATTTGTTTCGAGGTTTAACACTACTCTTATGACATCAAGTCAAAATTATGGCCACAGATTAAAGTGTTTTGTGTGTGAATAGGTTCATGTGGCTTGTAGTGAAAAGTGTTTTGAGTGAGAGTAGAAAAAGCAGTCAGATGCAGTCAAATTCAGTCAGAAGTTGGAAGTAAGGAAGTACAAATACTTTTTATACTTAATACTTTTTCTAGCAACTTTTTACTTTTACTCACTAGATTTTTAAACAAATATCTGAACTTTCTACTCCTTACATTTTCAAAACAGGCTCGTTACTTTTGTTTTAAAATGATCATTTATAGCGTTTACACTCGGGGTTAAAGTGGACTGATAGAAGTGCAGGTTCACGGTACGCGGTACAGCATCTAGCTAGCGCTGCAGAGGAGGACAAAGCAGGAAGGAAGTGACATGTTTTTTGGTTTTCTGGTGGTTAAAAGGTGGTAATTTCAAATTCAACGTTTCTATCAGCTAAGATAAGAAAGACAGGACAGGAAGAAGAGAGGTTTGAAGGTAAGGACTGCTCAGTAATACTTGATAAACTGCAAATTTAAAGCTTCATTTTAATCACATATTGGATTTGCATATGATATGTTTTGATAAATTATGTGTTTTCATGTTGTGAAATGTCCTGCAACACAAACTAAGCTAAACTCATTTTGTGTTGCATGAAAATATTAGGTAGTTTCGACTTTTAATTCCCTGTCACTGCACAACAGATTGAAACTGAGTGGATTTCTTAAAGTTAGACTCTAGATTCAATAGCATTGGTATTCTCATGTACTAACATTATTTTATTATATTATTATAGTGCAAAGTTCAATTGCCTTTGTCCAAAAATGCTTTTTCACGTTTACTTGAGTAAAGTTGTTTCAGTGCTTCAACTTTTACTGTTTTTTTAACAAATGTATCTGTGCTTCTACTTAAGTAAAGAAAGTCTGTACTTTTTCCACCTCTGTATTCAGTCATGTGAAAACAGCCCATAATTTGGTAGCTTGTAAAACCACATTAAGCAGCAATAACTCAAAATAATAATTTTCTGTATGACCTTTATCAGCCTCTCACATAATTCTGGAGGAATTTTGGCCCTGTGTTCTTTGCAGCATTGCTTCAGTTCTTTGAGGTTTGCAGGCAATTGTTTAAGCACAGCTTGCTTATGTCCTGCCACACCATCTCTGTCAGGTTAAGGTCTATACTTTGGCTGGGCCTTTGCGACACCTTGATTATTTTCTTTGTGAGCCATTCTGTTAGAGATTTGTTGCGGTGCTTGACTCTAGAAACCTTTGGTATACTGAAGAGTTCATGTTGAACTCAATCACTGCAATGTGTCCAGGTCCTCCGGCTGCAAAACAAGCCCAAATGAGTACTATGCATTATGACCAAACATCTCCAGTTGAATTTTTTTGACGTTGAAAACATTGTTTCTCAAAATCTCCAGAAGCAAAATATTCAGTTGCACCTTTTCGAATTAAGTTATCCTGCCATGTTCTTTTTAGAGAGAAGACTTTCTCCTGGCACCCCTTCCAAACAAGCTATACCTTTTCAGTCTTTCTCTAATTGTGCTGCCGTGAACTTTAACATTTAACATTCTCACGGAGGTTTGAAAATTTGCTGGGACGTCCACTCCTGGGAAGACTGTGGCATTGTGTTAACACACATGAACGCTTTCACAGAGCTACTCACAAAGCAGTAAAGGCCTCTTTAAACTTTATTTTTCACATGACTGTAATTAGCAGTTCATTTACTGTGTCTGGGTTATTCTTCAGTCCATATAAATCATCTATAAATGGAAATCATCTTATTGGCTTTAATACAGCAGCATCTGGCACCACTATTCTTTTATAATTGTTAATTATCATGGTAGGCTGTTATGGATTAGGCGTTTCAAGGAAGCAAATCTCAAATCCAGGTTATCATATAATCCGAAACACAGATACACAGTAGCTAAAAGAGAATAAAAAAATAACAGGCTTAAACCTGTGGAGAAAACAAGGGCTTAGATATTAAATGCAATGTCTGACAGACTCGGTTGAATGAATCCAGCCGTGAAATTTTAAAACAATAAAAATCTTGCTTGTGTGTTCATAATAAGTTTACAGTTGTATTGCAAGCCTGTATAGTGTTGTGTCTGTCATTTTATGCGAGAGGAAGGAGCATTATTTTAAGATAAGATAAGATAAGATAAGATAGAACTTTATTAATCCCTCGGGTGGGTTCCTCTGGGAAATTCGATTTTCAAAAAGCACGGCACCGACAGAAGTTACAGTTACAGAATATTATATATATATATACACACACACACATACACACACATATATAAATACAGAGAAAAATATAAATAAACTATACGAAGGGGATAAATAGAATAAATAGGAATAAAACTAAAAATACAAGTAATTTGCGCTCACTCTAAAAAAAATGACATGTGCATCCATGTCCAGTGTCACAGCATGGTGCATTTTTTGGAATGCGGTTGTGTGTATTACCGACTGGAGGTAGTCCAGCAGCTGCGTGAGCTGAAACAGTCTCTGCGTGCGGGTGGTCTCTCCGTGGTGGCTGGCCAAACGGTCTAGCTCCTTGATGTAGGAGGTCCGCAGTTTGTCAAAACAACTCTGGCTTTTCAGGCCCTGCACTGGCACTGTGACCACAAAGCCAGAACACAACAGTAACTCTCACAGACTTTATCCAGCCCATCAATTCTCTAAAGTATGGCTGTACTCTATTGCAGTTGTATTTCACATGTTGAGTTGACATTCGCGTCATTACTCATGGTCCCGGGTGACTCACTGATGCTGAGGAGGACCAGGGCCTTCATGCAGAGGAACTCCTCCTGGGTAACCTTGAGCATGCACAGCCTTTGGGATAGTAGCTTCATCCTCACACAGTGTTCATACATGCTGGACACTTGCATCCGCTGGCTGTGAGGAGGGATAAAAAAGAAAAAAGGGGGAAAAAAGCGTGACACAGGAGGAGGGTCACGTAGTGAGAAATGTAGAAAGGAGTCGTTATTGGGGACATGAAGGGGAAAAAAGGAGAGAAAAAAGGCACCAGAGGTGAGAAAAAACGAGTTAGATGGATAATGGAAAATAGAGAACGACAGTGAGGCACTGAAAAATGAGGGTCAGCAACAAGGGCATGCGTATCCATTACTATGCAGGTCAGAAGCAGCCTAATAGAGTGACATGGGTGTAACACAGACAGAATGAGTGCTAACGTCACGCAAAACACTGACCAATTCAGAGCTGCCATGAGAGTTGGCGAACATCGTCATACCTTCTTTGTTCTTGACACAACAATTTACTGATAACAGCCTGGGGGGGGGGACTCATGTGCAGTGATTTTTGTGACACAAACTCTGTTGTCTGGGTTTCTTTTGGGAGTAGAAAGAAAAAGACAAAGGCTGGAGTTGAGGTGTCAGAAACATTTTGATAAGGGGCCGAGGAGGTGAGGTTGGAGTGTAAATTAAAACTTGTCAGAGTGGAAGTTCTTGGACACTGATGAATGGTTATGCGATGATGAAAAAGAGCAAAGCATTTGAGACGATTCCCTCCGCCAGCCGCATTTATCAAATGCAAAGTGACGGGTTTGCTGGTGTGCCCGGAGAGACATTCGCTGTTTGTTTTCCTCCTGCCGAAAAACACCAGAAAAGTGTCGCACCGTGCCTTTCATCGCATTTCACGATGACAAGTGAAGTCTCATGGCATCGCAGCAAACCCCATGCCACAGTGATAATTTCTCATTTCTTAGTTTGATAAAGATTTTGTGTCTCCTTTTTTGTGAATTCGTTGTTTGATGTTAAATTGAATATTTTCTGAAACTCACTCATTGAAAACCAGGTCTGGAGCAAAGTACAGCATAGAGCTGTTAGTCAGCGTGTAGGATCTCCAGCCTAAGGCAAACACCATCACCCCCATCCATGACAGCTGAATCAGTGACATCTGGTCATCCACATACAGGTCCCGAAACCCTGTTAACAAAAGTCGCTGTTATCAAGCTCTCCTCAGGGTTAAGCATTCACAGTTTTATTATTTTTAAAAAAAATCAGCTGATTTGGCTTAATTAAATAACTGTTGAGGCAAACATGGAAACAATGATGGCCATTCTCAGCCTTCCTCTATTTTATCTTTTTTGCTTAAATGGGAAACATCCCCCTCTAGTGGCTAATATTTGAACAACTTTGTTTGTTTTGCATGGACACTAAACCAGCGCAAACTTCTGGAAAGGTATCTCATCTTTTGACCTAGATACTGAGGCCTTGCTCAGTGCTGGCAGATTAAATACATTTCCTAACAGTGGTACTGCTCATCCAAACCGCAGGGAATTCTAATGTCATTTTTGATTGAATTACGTTTATTTCTTCTCAAACTGCCCATTTACCATCCACTCTCTTAGTCAAAGTTGTTTACAAGTCTGATCTTTCAGGGTTTTGCTTAACAAGGAATACAAGTGGTATGTTTGACTAGAAACCAAAACGGAAGCAGCCATGGAAATGTGCTCCCTACCAGATTCTCTGGAAGAGCTACTTGGAATTAATTACCTTGGCTCAGATTAGTTTACCTGGTATTGCCTTGGCCCAGTGGACCACGGTTACCAGCTGCCGTTCTCCCAGCTCGTTCAGGCTGGTGAGCAAGGACACGGGGCTGTCTGGCTGGGCAGGATCATGCCCGGCATTGACCAGTGCTGGCTCAATAGCCTGTAGGATGCTGAGCAGCGACAGGCAGGAGTGCAGGGGTGGGGGGATGGCCGCAACCAGGGCCTGGGAAGCTGCTCGAGATATGTAGATATGTAAAAACAACATGAAGCAGAAAGTGTGGCAAGATCAAGTCTTTTCTGGCAAAAGTAAATTTAGCGTTGAATAAACGTGACATTTGAGCTCTGTGCAACTAATCCTTACCACCTTGAGCCCTGACAGCTGCATTTCTGGACTCCAAGACTGCATCTTTCTTCGCTGCCCTCTCTTCTTTTTCTCCGTGTCCCCAGCTAGCTGGCTGTTGCTCCTCTTCTCCATTACTCGCCTGCCCGGTTCCCTTCAGCCTGCGACCTAGAGAGATGATTCTGTTAGAATTCAGCTGGAGGGCTTCTAATCTAATAAATGTAAGGAATCTGACCATGCTGACCTATTTTTTTAAAACTGCAAAATACTTTCCTTTATTTATGTCTCATTATTTCCTCGTCTCTGGTAGCTCACCTTTAAGGCTCATTCCCGACATGAAGCATCTCTTTAAGCGACACGACGCGCAGTTCTTCCGCCTCAGTTTGTCGATGGTGCAGTCGTTTCGGCTGGCACACAAGTGGTTCTGCTTACCTGGAGGCACACAAGAGTGCTGGGGGATGAGGAGTGCGAGTTCAACAATGCCTAGGCTTCCACTCATAGCAACGATATGTGGGCGTTTACTGATAACAAATAACTCGACCTCATAATGTCAGGGTCACTGTGCCCTGTCTACAGGAGAGAGCAAGTGGGTGTAAGAAATT